AATTGTTACAATTATATAATATTATTAGTGGACTTAATGAAATACATCAAAAAAATCTTATTCATTGTGATTTTCATTATGGAAATATTTTAAATATTAAAAAAAATATTTTATCTATTAGTAATTTAGGATTATGTAAACCTGTAGAATATTTTCAATCATCTAAAAGAAATGATATTTATGGTGTTTTACCATTTGTTGCACCTGAAGTTTTAAGGGGTCAACCTTATACTTTAGCTAGTGATATATATAGTTTTTCTATGATTATGTGGAATTAATATCTGGGGTTTTTCCGTTTAATTATAAAGCTCATGATTTTCAACTTAGTTTAAATATTTGTAAAGGTAAACGACCTAAAGATATTGAGAATGTTCCACAATGTTATATAAATTTAATGAAAAGATGTTGGGATGAATGTCAATCAAAAAGACCAGCTGCATTTGAAATTAAAAAAATTATTGAAAGTTGGTATAAAAATATTATTGTTAAAGATTTTGATAAAAATATAATAGATGAAATTATTGAGTTTTATAAAACAGATAAAGTTTTAAATCAAGAGCAAAATAATGATATAGATGATAATATTTTTATGGAATCTCATTTACAAGCATATCATACTAGTCGTTTACTTAATTTTACTGAAAATTTAAATAAAATTTTAAATCTTGAAAATAAAAATTTAGAAATTAGTCAAAATATTGAAAATATTGGTAATTATTATAATATTTATAAATTTATCAAATAGATAAAATTCAATAATTGTTTCAATTCCAATTGATATTTTAATTTAATAGAATCTATAAATATTGCAAACGATTAATATGTAAGTAATTTAAATATTATTTTTATTAATTTTATAATTAATGTATTAATTAAATCTATTTATAAATATAAAGAATAAAATTGCACTTGTATAATTTGAGTTATCTTAAATCAATCTTTGACTTCTTTGACTCAAGTCATATTTTTAAGCTCGAATTTTAAGGTTTAAACTTGAATTTACTGAGTATATGTAAACTTTTTTTTAATTATTTTAATTATATTTTTTATAATTACAATGCTATTATCAATACTAGTAAACATGAAAATTTTTCTTATAAAAATATTATATCATTTTTATATGTAAAATTTATTTTAGAGTAACAAATTTTTATATAAAAAATAAATATTATATTTTTCAGAAATAGATATATGAATCTTAAAATAAAATTGGTAATTTGATTGATTAATATTCTATCAATTGCTTAAACTTTAATTCATAGCTATTTAAGTTTATATAAAAATGAATAGTCGTGCTTAAACTTCAAATAATACTAAATGGCACTTATTATATTGTTGAAATTTTCATAATTAATTCTGAATAAATTAATTATTAATTAAAAAAATATGCATTATACAGAATAAAGACTATAGAATGTTTCATTATTCTGCTAAGGACTAATTAAAAAATTATATAATAAACAACAACTATTATTATTATAATCATATAAAGTATAGTTTATATTGCAAATTTTAACAATCTGTGTTAGTTTATATACTAGGAAACGGGAACCGTTATAAGTCCGGAGCTTTTTTATATAATTTAACTAGACGATATTTATTTCAAGCAATTTACTTTCGAAAGACTTCAACGAATTCAGAGCTGCAAAAGACTACAAGAAAGGAAGGTCGAAGAAGGGCGTTTACTTTCTAAGATATCAAGAGTGTGAAAAAATTAAATTTTTTTAGCGATATATAAATTATTTTACAAAATTTTTTTATTTTTTAGCAATACGATATATGAATTTATTTCTCAATTTTTTTTAGCGATTACATCAGTTTTACACTAGTCTATTTTATAATAATAAAGTTTTACACTAATTACAGAAATGGTAAAAGTATCGTTTTGAGTAAAACAGCATGGAATTATATAGTCCTTCGCTACGCTCATGACAACAATAATATGAAGCAAAATTCTCATTATGATTGGAGAGTCGATTTTAATTCAAAGCTCTTAGACAAATTATTAGATTTTAATTCAAAGCACTTAGACAAATTATTAGATTTTAATTAATTTAAAATAAAAAAAATTATCTTAAAAATTTTTTTTAAAATTATTATTTTATGCAAATAAAAGTGATGAGTTTTCAAATTTGATTTTAGTATTTTAGTAATACAACAATCATAATTTTTATTATTTAATCTTTAATTTTGATTCAAAAAACTGTAATATTGATATTATTTTGTTGTTCTTAACTATCGAATTTTCCAAAATAATTTAACAAAATATTTAAACTGAGTTTCCTGTCTAGTGCGACTCATTTAAATAAAATATTTGCAAAATTATTATTTAAAATACTTTGTGAATGAAAATGCTATATGATAAATGAATAATTTGTTTTATGATGAATTATTCTATATTCTATATTTTTATCTAAAATTCTATCAATTTTAAATTATATATAAGTGTAACAATGAATTTTTATAATTTTAAAATATCCCTCGAGACCATTGTTTTTAATGACACTTAACAAAATATGAAGGAATTTCAAATATCTCAGGTCGTCATCTTAAAAGTTCAATGAATACTGGCAAAATAGATAAATTAAGAATCAATAATATAAGAACCATTTTAAGAACCTTTTAATTTTTGAATTTTCATATTTATTTTCTCGACCTCCCACAAGTTGAATATTACACCGTGGATCATAAAGAAAAAGGTGTGTTCACCTGTCCAAAGGTCAAATTGTTCAATAATAAGATATTCATGCAATAAAGCACTAACAACGAATGCTCCTAATATACGAGCGAAAACATTTTTAACAGGCAAAAAATCTAATTCTTTGAAACTTTCATTGATCATCAATTGCCAATGAGCAGACCAAAATCCACGAGAACTTGATGCCATCTATGATAATGTTTTGTGTTTAAAAGGAATGTAATCATCCATTCTTTTAGGGAGACATACTCGGAAGGAGTGAGAAGGTTAGATTTAACTAAAATAGGTTCATAATAGATTTCTTTAGACGAGGAATGAAGGAATATAAAGAGTTGCACTAATAATAGTGTATATATCGTAAGTATATACGGACAACATTTGGTATACGCATAAAAGGAGAATTAAGTATTTTAATGCTAATAAGCGAAGTTGGTATGGTTTCTCTGGAATTACCATTGTATATATTTTAGAGATAAAAATTGCAAGTTCAAGAATAAGACATTTTGTAAAGGTAATTAGGGTATGATAAATTAATTTTTGTTAATATGTGAAGTCGTAGGTGATGTAATAATCAAGGAATTTTCTTTTTAATTAGAAATTTCCATTTTAGGAGGAATTATGAAGAGTTAAAGCGTGAATTAAATATTTTCCATAGCAATGACTTAATTTCTTCCTTTTGATTCGAACTTTCTTTATTCATGATCGATTATATTTTAAGAATATAAACATTTTTAGTCCAAATAATACTCCATAGGCATGAATGTGATAAAAACAATAATAATGGAGTTAAAAATATTGAAGAATATACAGAAGTAGGTGAAATATTTGCCATGTAGATAATGGTGAATTAAATCAATTTAATGTGTGAGCGGTCGTTACTGACAGTGGTATGTGAACCAGATTTGATTTGGTGAAAATGCGAGGTCGCGACATACTGAAATTTTAATGTCGATATTTTCTAAAGTACTAAAAGAAATTAATTGGAAAAAGTAAAATCAATAAAAGATTTTTACAGCTCATTTCATACCATTACTATAAAACATTGCGACTGAATGCGAATGAAAAATTTTAATGGTCCATAAATTATAAAATTAGCTGTAAACAAAAATATGTATTTGAAAGATTGTTGAATTCCACCGCTCTATATATACTTTTGATTGCTTAAAAAAGCTAGAATTTTGGAAAATCATTATTACAATGGTATTTCTTACGCCAAGCTTTATTAAAATTTCGAGAAACTTGGTAAAAAGGTTATTATAACAATAAATACAGGTTTCGCTAATTTTAGATTAAGGCGAATTTATGAATTACCTAAAATATTTAGCCAGGTATATTATGACAATCGATATTATAAATTGTTGTTCTGATAATTAAATTTCATGTATAACTATTGGATACTATATTAAAATATAATGAAATTTTTATTGGAGATTCTCTTAAAGATGGCCTGTACAATTGTCGTAGAAAAAATATAAAATACCGCAAGTACAGTATATTATTTCTTGTTGCTTTCATAGCTACAGTTCTACCGACACCGAATAATCAACGTTGCTACTCCAAAATTGTTTTCTCTATGTGTTGTAATACTTCATTCCAAGTATGTGCATAAATATTAACTTTCGACCAGGTGCCTTCTAATAAATAAAGAAAGATAGTTAATATTTTCTTCAGCCATATTATGGACGATAGCTGTTACACTCTCGATCTTAGACTGCGCCAAAATTGATATCTGTCATTTTCTTGAGGATTGACACTTCGGATTTTTCTGACTATTCGATCCCAAATGGACTGATGGAAAATATATGTCAAATCTGTCAATTTCACATCAAGGACAATTAATTTGATTTGTCTATCAATCATCCAGCCGCAAAAATTTATATTTTTAAAGAAATTCCGTAGCAAAGCCATGAGAAGGAATATTTAGTTATATGATTTTAGTTTTCGATAGGATAGAATTAGAAATATCCATTTCTCTAAGACCTATTAAAGTGCGCCGGCTGAGGCAGAATATGTTGATTTTATTGTATTTTTTTATTTTTTATTTAATATACTTATTTCTTTTTTATTCTCTACTAAATTAATTCATTTTTAGTATACATTTATCGACACACACCATTTTGTTACATCGCTGTACTACCGATTATAGTTTTCGTTCCAATAGTAAACGGAGAAATTAATTATTGGTAATACTCTTTATTATTAGTGATGGCTTCTGGTTTTTGGAGCTCATTCTAATCCTTGTAATCAGGCAATAGCTTGTCAAATCCTTTAGAAGTGAATTGCCAATAAATGTGAGAACTAAAATTCAGGAATAATATTGGAAAAGGAGAAAGTTAAAACTAAAATTCATTCAATCAAATATACGCATGCGACGATAGTCTTTAATGGATAAATAAATCATCCGAGCTTTTTATTAAAATGACGCAAGTATTGATATTTTAATTAAATTTCTGACTTTAATATCATTCCTTGTTTCACATTAACAATAATTTTGAACTTGTATTTAAATTGTAATGTTATTACTATCGAAATGTTGGTTGTTAATGATTATTTTTTTTTAAAAAAATATGTTATTTCTGTGATGCAGTTTACAGTTCAAAAAATACTCAATTGTATACGAATTATTGGCACCTTGAGATTTTGAAAGACATCAAAAAGGACAATATGAAACTATTACAAACCGATTACTGTAATCCATTACTTGGATGAGTTCAATTTCAAAATCTCTTATTAAGTTAATTCTATAGATTATTGTAATAAATTCGTTCTTATTTTCATTTTGGTAATGGGAATAAATCTTAAATAAAAGGTTAGGACCTGTGAGATTTCGTACGTGCAGACTTTCTATAGGAGAAATCTGGGAGCTAAATTCATATAAAATAAAAAATTTTTTGATTGATTAGAGAAAGGACAAAACTCTAAGTATTCAGTGACGCATGTATTCTTTATAGGTTCGTAAATACTAATTACACATTGGGTATGATTGACGAATAAATATAAGCATGGTACGAACTCGTTTAAGCATGGGTATGAACTTACCATAATTAATTCATTCCTTCGAAATAGACGCTCATCCAGATCAAGAATAATCATTTTTCAGAATGTAATCAATAAACTTGCAGATTTTCTTTAGGACAAGGATTGGAATCTGAGCTGTGAGATTTGTACATGCAGATTTCTTTAGGAGAATCCTGGGAGCAACATTATCTAACCTTATTTATTAACTTACAAACCTTAATTATTCTTCATATCAGCATAACTTGCAAACCTTATTTATTCTTCAAATCAGCATTACTTCAAAATAAAAAAAAAACTAGTTGAATAAAATAACGTATAGCAAATCAATTATCTCCCACCTTTCTAATTTACAACATATAATGCTCCATGCCACAATCTCTTTCTATATGATTGAAAGTTATTATAAAAAATCCATTTGAATAAATTATCAATTCTTTAACTTCCGCTAATCCAATTCGAAAATTCATCAATCAATTCTGAGCTAGACGGCGGCTATTCATATTATTCATATTATTATTAAATTTCCTTATTTTTTTTTTTTGTGAATTATGTATGGTGACACTGTAAAACGGAAAGCATGCTGACGATCTATAAATAATCTTTTTGAAGGTTCTGTTAATTTATTTTTTTTTTTTTTTTAAAAAAAATTAAGATTGGTTTACGAATAAGTACGCGAAACTATTTTACAGTTACACCTATCTGCAGGCTAATTTACATGATTTACAAAATACCTTTTTTTTTCTTTTTTTTGCTTTCCTCCAAGAATTTTTATAATTTACAAAATCTGAAAAAATCAAAATGCAAGGTGCAAATGAGTGGATTAATTGGATTGAAGAGTATATTTTAAGAAAAAATATAAAATGTTATGAATATAAACATTTTAAAAACGTTCAAGTAATTCGTACTGGTAGCTTTGAAAAAGTTTATCGTGTCGTGCAATTTGGAAAAAAAACCAACCTCTTGCGTTAAAATCCTTTCATAATCTTAACAATGCCACAGTTAAAGAAACAGTTGTGAGGTAATTACAAAATATTATTTGTGATTCGGTGAATTTCAATCTGTTTATCTGTTTAGTATTAGATCATTTAAAAAGCTTTTATTTATATTTGTCAAATTTTAGCTCGAACTTCAACATGAAGTTGATTTCCATGATAATAGTATTCGCTCTTATGGGATAACGTCAAAACAAGGTATAAAAATTTCAAAATAAATTTTATTAAATATATTTATCAATATGTTTATTCTATTTTTTATTTAATAAAAAATAAAATATTAGTAAATTAGAAAATCAAGATGATCAGTTGAAAAAATATTTGTAGTAATGGAATATGCCGATGGCGGTGCACTTAGAAAATATTTGAAAGATAATTTTTATAAGCTTAAATGGGAGGATAAATACAACTTTGCGTTTCAGTTGGCTAGTGCTGTGTCGTGTCTACATGATGAAGGAATTGTACATCGTGATTTGGTAATCTATATTTATTTTGTTTATTATCACTGCTAATTAATAACAAAGAAATTTTTATGTCTAATAGCATTCCAGCAATATATTAATTCGTAAAGGGATGATAAAACTTGCCGATTTTGGACTATTGAAAAGAATTGAGGAGGCAACAAAACAACAATCAAAGGTTTTTGGTGTAATTCCTTATATTGATCCTAAAAGGTTTGATAGACGACAAAGAAGTGATAGATTGCTAAATGAGAAGAGTGACGTTTATAGCGATATCGAGTGGTAGACCTCCTGTTTATGTTGAAGATGAACAATATGACATTGATTTAGCAATTGATATATCACAAGGTCTTAAAGTATCATTCCTGGTACATTGTAATTGATAATATAAATATGTTTTTAAGTACTATAGTTTACCAAGATTTTAATGGTTCAAACTGAGAAAAATTTGGATACAGTTTTTTTACAACTCAACTCTACGCAAAAATACTTCCTTTTTATAAGAATTGTGATAATCGCCTTAACAAGACTACAGTTTAATACTTCAAAAAGATTTTGTATTATATAATTAAACAAGAATACGAAATGAATAATTAATAAAGAAATAATATTATCTATACTATTTGTGTATAAGTGAGTTCCTTAATCTTTGTTGTTTGTTCGTCATTTTCGTGATTACTTAAACAATAAAGTAGGAGATATCCTACTGTATAAATAATTAATCCAGAAGGTTATCTTGAAGTTAAATGGCATTCTGATTAATAATCAAGATTATGTAAAGATTCATCAATGAAAAAAAAGTATAAGCAATATCATAACCAATTGTTTTAAGTTGACCATGGGCTTTCTTAATCAATGTGATTGATTGGCTAGTGATTGTGATTTACGATCATTGGTTGATCAACCTCTTTTTATCGTTCTTTCAATTTCATTTCATTATGAATAAAACTTTATTAATTTAACAATTTATTATTCATTGCAACAACAACAACAATATTCTGTAACTATCATAAAAAGTGGTGTTGTGATCAATTTACGATGGTGATGGTCCCGTTGAAGATTCATAATGCAAAAAAATGTGATAAGCGATCAATTTTTATATTCCATCAATGAAATTTTTCAGCCAATCAGCGCAGCATATCAAAAAAAATTAAGTTGGTTTTTAGCTCTCGGTATTTTTGACTTAAATGATAATTATGCTTTATTTTTTTTAGCCAATCAGATCATTTATAAACCCATTGAGGGAGAAGCTGACATATGGGGTGAGTGCTGGGAAAAGGGACCAAATCGACAAAAAATTTTTTTTTTTGAAATAACAAATGATCTGAATCAGATGACCAAATCTACATCTATTTTACTTAGAAA